AGGGGTTCCGCGTGGACGTGATCCGCGAGGAGGAGGGGACGCTGGAGTTCGACATGGTGGGCATCGACGCCGCCATCGCCAACGCCTTCCGCCGCATCCTGCTCGCCGAGGTACCTGCGGGGGCTTGGGGGGAGCGGGGAGGGTCCTGCCGTACCTCAGCCCTTGCAGGCAGCTGCTGGGTTCAGAAGAGAAGCGCAAATTTCCTTGTGCTGGGAGCCCACAGAGAGTTAGGGCCTTAGGAGCGTGAGCGATAGATAGCGCTTTGTTGGTCTTAAGGGTGTCGTTGATAGTGTCTGTGGATCGACCTGTTCTTCACTTCTTGTGATCGTTTGTTTAAATAAAGAAAACAGGGAAGGGGGGGCTTTCCCTTCTTGTGATTATTTGTTTAATAAAATAAACGGGGAAGGGGGTATATTGGGTGTAAGTGTATTGGGTAGCCAGGTTCGGCAGAAGTAGCACTGAAAACAGTCCGTAGGGCAGTTATTCATGGGAGAGAAGGGATGCTGTATTCTGTTGGTGTGTTGTTCGACTGTCATCTTATGCTGATGTGATCTCTCGTCTCCCTGAGGTGCCAACAATGGCTGTAGAGAAAGTTTTTGTGTACAACAACACGTCCATTGTGCAGGATGAAATTCTGGCTCATCGCTTGGGCCTCATCCCTATCCGAGCTGACCCTCGACTCTTCGAATATAGAAACCAAGGTGAGAGTCTTGGATCAAATAGAAATATTGAAGGTTTCCCCCAAAGCAGAAAATCAGGGTCGCATAAACTGAGCAGAAGTGTGGTTCCGCAGAGGCTTATGCTGTTCTCCCCTTCTCAGGAGATGAAGAAGGCACAGAAATTGACACTCTGCAGTTCCAACTGAAAATAAAATGTAGCCGAAACCCTCGGGCAGCCAAGGAGTCATCAGATCCTAATGAACTATATTTCAATCACAAAGGTGAGATCTCTCCTAAAAACAGCTGCTGTTTTTTTTCTTTTTTTGGTCTTGGGAGACAGGATTTGGTCTGTTCTCTCAGCCCTGTGAGCCGGGAGCACTGATTCCCTCATTCTGCTAAACTTACCTTTGCCATCTCCAGTCCTGTACAGGTCAGCAACCTGTTGTGAGGCTGCAGCTGGCTGACGCTTGTGGCTTCTCTTCGCAGTGTACAGTAAACATATGACATGGGTGCCCTTGGGGAATCAGACGGACCTCTTTCCAGATGCTGACTTCCGACCTGTTCACGATGACATCCTCATTGCACTGTTGCGACCTGGCCAGGAAATAGATGTGCTAATGCACTGTGTCAAGGGTATAGGTGAGTCGTGGGTCCTGGGGCAGTGGGAGGAATGTGGGTGCTTGGACCAGGGCACAGCTGCGTGAAGGGGAAGGGTGGTGAACTGGATTTCCCCTTGGAATTTTAGGTCCTGGCATCCTTGCACTCTCATTCCATGAAGCCTGACCTTATCCTTGACTCTTAACTCTTTGTGCAGGTAAAGATCATGCCAAGTTTTCTCCTGTGGCCACAGCTAGTTATCGACTACTTCCTGACATTACTCTCCTGCAGCCTGTTGAGGATGAGGCAGCTGAGATGTTGCAGAAGTGCTTTTCCCCTGGAGTCATTGAGATCCAGAACATCAAAGGTACTTTTTTCCTGCTCTAAAGTGCCTTTTTCTTTATGAGCCTTAGTAGAGACTGATCAGAGATTAGAGCCAAACCTTGCAGAGGCAAAACCACATTGTGATGTCTGTTCTGAGCCTGGTTTTATGGATGAGTGGCTGTCACATGCAGATGTGTTGGGTGATGAATGGTGATCTCCCTGAAGCGCTAAGGGATTGGGTGTCTGTCCACAGAGCTCTGCATCTGCTGCCTGCAGCTTTCAGCACCTTTCAGTTATCTGTAAGACTGGGCAGCGAGCTTGCTCTTGCCAGCAGCTGAGCGTGGAGACTCCTTGTGTCCTGCCCAGGGGTATACGCAAGCTTTGTGTATGGTTGGGATGTTCAAGAACACCAGTTCTGTCAGGCTGGAGTTTCGTGTTGGGGGTGTGCTGATTCTTTATATTGGTGGCTTTGTTGCCTTTGCTGATGGGGGAGTGCATGTTAGAGGGGTAAGCACCTGCTGTGACCACAAGGCACCCATCTGCTGCAGGCACCCATCTCATTTCATCTTTTCTCCTTTAGGAAGAAAGGTGGCAAGAGTAGCCAATGCTCGGTTGGACACGTTCAGCAGAGAAGTTTTCCGTCATGAGGGTCTGAAAAACCTTGTGCGCCTGGCAAGAGTGCGAAACCATTACATCTGTAAGTGCCCCATTTTCCACAGCGCAGAGCCCTGCTGTCATTTGTGCAAACGAGCAGTGACTGGCCAGCATGTACACCTGGGCCATGGCCTGCCCTTTCCCTCCCACACCAGGAGCCTTCATATGTTTGTGTTCCAGTGGGTAACTACTGAGATTGTGGCTTTGGGATCGAATGTGTTTGTGCTTCCTACGGCAAATGTAACCTCTTTGTCTCTGTCTATGAAGATCTGGTTGTCAAAAGTACGGTGTAAGGGAAGATGAGGAACAGGAAAGCTGGAGCCAGGTGTAGGCTGAAGCTGCCTAGGGGCTGTTCTGACTTGTGTCTCTGTGCAGTTTCAGTGGAGTCGACGGGTATCTTGCCTCCAGATGTGCTGGTGAGCGAAGCCATCAAGATCCTGATGGGAAAGTGCCAGCGCTTCCTGAATGAGCTGGACTCTGTGCCTATGGAGTGACCTGACCGTAGCTGGGAAGCATATCCCCGCACTGCTGTTCTGGGCTTCTGCACCTGCCTGCAGGGGTGATTCCTAGGACCAGCTCTTTGTTTTCTGTTGGTAATAAGCCTCAGTGAGGAGATGCACTAAAATAAAAGCTTTTCTTTACAGCTGGCTCCTTCTGTGCTGTTCCCAATTGTGAGACTGGTAATACACAGAGAAGGAAGTGGCAGCAGGTCTAAAGATGAATAGTAGCATTTATTTCAGATTGCATGCAGTATGTGAAGAGCAGTGTAGTAAAGCACTTTGCAGCAGGTCAGTGAGATTTAACAAGTCAGTACCAGTGCAGGACTGTTTTGCAGGTGTCTCAAAGCAGCTCTGGGGTAGTTAATGTCATAGATGCAAGGCTGCACTGTCAGAGGGCTGGGACACTTCTATGAAGAAAGGCTGAGAGTTGGGGTTGCTCAGCCTGGAGAAGAGAAGGCTCCAGGTAGAACTTATTGTGGCCTTTCAATACTTCTAAAAAAGATGGAAAAGGACTTTTTACCAGGACCTGTAATGACAGGACAAGGGGCAACAGTTTTAAACTGAAAGAGACTTAGAGTGGACAGAAAACACTTTTTACAGTGAAGGTGGTGAAATGCTGGAACAGGTTGCCCAGAGAAGCTGTGGATGCCCATCCCTGGAAGTGTTGAAGGTCATGTTGGAAAGGGCTTTGAGCAACCTGATGCAGTGGAAGATGTCCCTGCCCACAGCAGGGGGCGGGGGGGGGCGGGTGTTGGACTTTCCCAGTCCCTCCCAGCCCAAACCATTCTGTGATTTTACGATACAGTACTGGGCTTCTCTCTGCAAAGGTGGGGTTTAAAAACATGCCCTGTAAGGACTGACTGTCCCCTAAGTATCACAAGGTAAGCCATTTCTTCACAGGTGTTAGTTTTGACTACTCTGTTCTCCCTTTCAGTGCCTGAATGTACTTTGGGCTGACCTTGAAGCAGACCTGGATGGTGGAGGGCAAGTGACAGTCAAAGGCCTGACTCCGTCCAGGGAAGCCTGGGAGAACTTGGAAGTTAGTCTCAGTGGTGAGCACTACTGTTTGTCAGCACTGGGTAGTTCTGGGCTTGTGAAAGGCTCTCTCTTGACAAGCTGATGAAGGAACCGTAACTTCAGAGTATGGCTGGGAGTACTGGTGTGTTCTAGCTGCTTAAGTCAATCATCACTACAGTGCTAGAGTTTAGTGGAGCAAATAAATCATATTTTTTCTCTGTTTCACTGGGATTAGATACTTATACTGTAAACATCCTTATAGGTGTTAATCCCATTTGAAAAACAGTAATTTCTAGCTGGATCTTTTCTGTTTAAACAAGCTGAAGCAGCTTCCATCCTAAAATGGATTACAGCTGGACCTCAGAAAGAGGTTTTATAACAAAAACTTAATTGACATTGCTCAGTCCCACCTCTTTGAGGGCTTCTGCTTTTGTTGTGAGAGACCTTCCTTCATCAGGTGAGGGGACACCAGAGGCAACAGCTACATCACTTTCCTGTGTTCCTGAAAAGGTCAGCTGAGAGAACTATGGCTGAACTGCAGTGTTATCACAAGACAGTGCTCCTCCCAGCCACAGCTAGGGTTCGGCTTGGAGGCTACTTCAGTAGCATACACACCTTTCTGTGCTCGTGCTTCGCCTATTTCCCATACTGGTTATGGGACATACCCGGGAATAGCCATGACAAAGGGTTTGGCTTTGGCAACACAAACCCTTCAAGCTGTAAACTGGGACCTAGCAGCTGTTACTGCTAAAACTGACATACTAAAAATGCAATTTTCCCCTTCTCTTCCAATTTAATTATGTCGTCTGGAATGTTCCTCCCCTCCCTGATAATGTATGTTGACTACCAGCAAAGGGGCTGCCTCTTTGGTAGCTGGAATAAGGAGTGCTGACCAATCTTAGGAAGGCAGCCTGGGCAGAGGCCTCAGGTCTTACTGAAACAGATAAGAGAATGAAAATGAAACCATGACACCATTTGTATGAAACTGGAATAGCTTTATTGACATTCAGAGGTGTAACACAACCAGTTCAGAGACAGCTTCGGATTTAAACATTCCTACAAAAAAGGTTCTAAAAACCATGTAAAAAAAACCCCTTGTGTCTAGCATGAAGTCACAGAATGTTAAAAATATCACAACATAATAAATACACCCAGCCTCTGCTAGAGCCAGGAGCCATGTTAGCTCGGAGGTTAAAAAAGTTTGAGGCCAAGAAGAAACTGGAGGGTGCTGGTGGAACAGCAGGGGCGGGAAGGTAAGCAGATTCCCAAGGTCTGCTTTTCCTTTCTGTGCTCCCACCTCTCCCAACCCCAGGTTTTCTGTCCAGTCTGCCCCCGTGGAGACAGCACCTTCTCCACCCGCCATGGGTTATTGTTCTGTCTCCTGGACTGCAAAACTGCCAGCTAGCTCTAGGCAGACCCTCCCAGCTCTCGTGCCAATGCTAGGATAGATCGGGTGAACCATCTGTCATGTAAGAAGAACCAGCTTTGCAACTGGAGTGGTTTGATAGTGTCCCACTTCATCTGAAACTCAGTTTCTGACCTGGCTCCCCCCTGTAAACCGCAGTGTAAACCCCACCCCTCCTGCCAGACTGGGTGAAAACACGGGCTGCTGTGTCAGATCCACAGCAACAGGGTGAGGAGATCCCTTTTGGTTTGCAGGTGCTTCCGATATTGGTCCAGATTTTGTGTACCCTGCACTGCCTATGTTCTAGTCTACAGGGCATGGTAAAAAGAAAAAAAAATAATACAAAAAAATCTGTCCTGCTCCCCCTGACAGATGTCCCAGGAAAGGCTAGCACAAAGTAAAAGCCTTCCATTTGGCTCTAGGTAGAACAAGCTGCATGATCATATATATACACATATACACGTATATATATGTATGACAGTGTCTGCCTCCTCGAGAGCAGCTGCACCTTAAAAAGGCTGATCTTGAGGGAGATCCTAGAGCACTGCCCTCAGCCCAAGGCTCAGCATCCTGGAGGGAAACGGATTCACCAGAACACCAGTCCGCTAGGGACAAGTGCTGATAGGCATGACAGGAGTGTCTGATGTGTTCCCTGCAAAGCCTGGCTACTAGCACCCAGAGGAAGATTTCGGTAGCCTCTATTCACATGGCCTGCTACTCTGCTTTTTGTATTAATCCTAAACTGCAAAGGATGAAGAAGTGGAGCAAGAGTGACCCAAGGCTACAGGATGACCAGGCTTTACCTAACGGAGTCTATGGGCTCAGCTCCCACCTTGCAGAGGTCTAAAGATGCTCGTTCAATGGAGGGGAGGGGAAGGAATCAGGTAGAGCTTAATAGACTGCTTCAAATGCCACTGCAGGCCCCATCCCCGTGTAACCCATAAGGGGCTTTATTCAGACGAACGCTTGTGGAGGCGATGACGAAGAGAATCTAATGTGCTTACTATGAGGAGAGACAAAATATAAGGTAGGGGAGGAGATGGTTGCAGCATCCCAGGCTCAGGGCTCAAAGAGGGCAGTGAGGCCCTCTCCATCCTCATTTTCTATCACATCCGTCTCCAGTGATGGCTTCACCTTTTTGAAGAGAGATGGGAGGTTGCGGATATGAACCTCCTTGCGGAACTGCTCCCCGAGGGGCTTCTGCAGAGGACAGACAGGCAGGCATCAGTCATTACTGCCTTCATAGCCCCCCACTCACCTCAGGGGCAGCCTGCTAGTACATCAGAGGCAGACCCCAGATTCTGAGCAATCCCTAGGGCTGTGCTTGTGTTTTGGGGAATCTCAGGCCCGGTCCTTCCCAAGTGCCAGGACACTGGGGTAACCACCAGCTTCCCAGCTTTTAAATTAAAGTACCAGACTCCAACACCACCATCATCACAAAAGCCTGGCACCCACCTAACAGCTTTGTTCAAACATTTGAACACCCTGTTCCCGTGGGCACCCTTGTGCACGGTACCCCCTGCCTCTCGGTGATAAATCATTGCTGAAGGAGCTGCTCAGCCTGTGCTTCTGTCTCCACTGTACCCTCATGTTGAAGAGAGGCAGAACAAACACAATATGCCGCAACAGCTTCCTGGGTATGAGCATGAAATGAAAGGGATTCATTTCCCGCCAGGATATCACCTACCCCAATGCAACCTGCGATGAGGCGCTTGAAATGATCCTTCCGGCGCTTGTCTGCCACCTTCTGCAGTGTTGGGTTCAGAAGCTTTGAATCAAACTGCTCCAGAGAGTCCCTCTGGATGTCTGGGATCTGCTCCATCACTGCCTTCAGCTCAGCGTAGCGAGGGCGCTGCAGGGAGAAGTGCGGTTAACACAGCTCTGGTAGAGGTGCAGCCCTGCCGCCCTTGGGGGCCATTAGCTCCTCTGCCCCCACCCCAGCAGGCATGGGATTAGTTCTTCACCACTCCCCAGCCAACCTCTCATCCTGATAAAGAGCAGAATTTCTCACCAAGGCCTCGTAGATCTGGAAAGCCAGGTGGACAAGAGCTGCCATGCAGCCGTCATGCTGCCCGTGTGTTTGTAAGCCCTTCAGCACGCTTGTGAAAAACCAAGACACAGCATCGGGCAGGAGGTTTCCTGGAAGCACCTGGGGAAGAGGCACTGTCAGCATGGAAGCAGGATACTGATACATGACTGCCTTTCTGCAGCAGCTTGGGCTTCCTGAGGGAGAAGGTGCCCAGGGATGAAGCGGCCAAGCTTCTCACACCATTCAGAGCTTCCTCTCCCAACCCCGACAGAACTAATCCCTTCTTCCTCCCAGAGGTACCTGTTTGAGCAGCGGCCAGCAAAGCTGTGTTGTGGTTCTTTGGCAGGACAAGGTGTCCTTCCAGGAGAGGGATGTGTAGGCAGTGATAAGCAGTGCGGTGCAAACATCCTGAAAAAGAGTCAGAGACAGGAACCAGTCAGAGGACCTCTTTCCCACCTCCAGGGTTCAAACCTGAAGGGAGCCAAGAAACAATCCAGTGACTCTGTAGGAGCTCCTTGGGGTTATCTTCTGAGAAGCCTGCGTGCTGCTGCTGCTTAAAGGCACACAGTGTGCACCAGCACAGGAACCAACATCAAGTAAACCTGCTCCCAGCTGCTACTCTCAAGTCACCACAAAAGCTGCTGCGAGAGCTTCTGAGGCATCCACAGGAGAGGAGGAGTACAGAGGTCTTGGGATGAAGGTACTCTGCACAGTGGGTAGTGTTAACACTTTGTCTCCTGTGCTGGCTCTGGCAGATTTTACAGAAAAAGAGCTTCTGGGTGAAGTTCTTCCTCATGAAGGCAGGATGGAGGCAGAGCCAGGGAGCACCCCAGGGGGCTGAATGCCCAGGGCCTTGCTCACAGAAGGGCTGAAGCTCTGTAGCTTAATTTTATACTGGATCCCAACCCCTGTGTGCTTTGTGGCTTCTACGACCATTAACAAGGCCATAAGAAAAGACGTGTGTTCTGGAGAGAAGACTCTCACACTGGGGAATGTTCCAGCAGCCTACATCTCTGTAGCAGGATCTGTCTGCACCACAGACAAGCACGACGAGGAGTACGGAGAAAGGACGGTGGAAGCCGGAGCGTGTGCTCTTACCTCCTGCTTCATCAGACACTTGCCAAGCTCGGTGAGCTCTGCGCTGGCAGGGGGAGTCACCTCTGTGGCCATCGCCTCGTCATCTGCAGAGCAGAAAAAAGGCAGCACTGTGAACATGGCCTCCTGAGGACTGAGGGACACACCGGGAGGCACAGCGAGAACTCAGCTGGGAACCAGGGGACAGCACACAGAACCTCTCTCTCCAAGCAGAATGCACCCACCCTTTGTGGGACAGGAAGGGCACCCAACCAGCTACCTCCAGCTCTCAGGAAGACCGTGCGCATCCCCCCTCCTCTCAGCCCTCTTCTCTGTACTTTAAGAATTAGCTGCTCCAACATGCTGCCCGTGAGCCCTACAACATGCTTGTTCCTGGGCTAGATCAGGTTTTTCTGTACCCCCCAAACACACTGGGCAGGACAGAGCCGAAAGCTTCTTACCAAACCTATACCCCTCACACAGAACTTCCAGCGACAGGCCAGCCCCTCCCTCAAGAAACGCATGAAGAAATGGGCGAGGTGTTCGCACACACCAAGGGGAGGAAGGGCAAAGGCAGGCATTTACTCACCATCTCCGTCAACAGCAGCAGTAGTGTTATGCTCAACGCCTTTCTTAGAAACACAGCAAACAGCTGCAAAAACAGTTGCAGGTCAGAGGAGCAGAAAAGGGAAGATGCTACTTCAGAACATGCAGAGATTATTATCCTACAGACTGATGAGCTCACAGCTGCTTCAAGCTCCCGGAGCTCTTACACTGTATCTGAAGGATCTGAAAGCCCAGTATAAAAGCTAAATACTGCACCACCTGGAAGGCTGAAACCCCCCACCCACAGCATCCTCCCCCAGTGGAACCTGCTGCACAGTGGCTGCTTCAAACTACAGAGAACCAGGAAAACCATTTGAAGCCTAGAACCTGCAAAGAGCAGCATCTTAGCAGAACAAGGCAGATCAAGAAAGAAGAAAGAAGACTGAAGACCTGTAAACTCTATGCAGAGTCAATTTTCTCAGCCTCTCTGCTCAAAGCCCCACTGGCTAAAAGACAATGTTTGAGAAAGGGAGACTGCCAGGAGGGAGGGACTCTCCCCTTCTGTCTGGCTAGAAACATGGCAATTGCCAGCAACAAAACTGCTCTACACTCACGTGTAGAGGGCACAGAAAGGGAGAACCCGTATTCCAAAGGAGGACTGGACTCCTACAGGAACAGTGGCAAAAACATGGATCCCTACATGAAAGAACAAAAACTCTTTTCTTAAGGTTTTTAATTGATCTCTTACTAGGTTTTAGCTAAGATTTCGGCAGGGCTAACTGTCTCACACCCAGCTTCTAAGGATTATGTTAAGCACTACTGGAAATTGCTGTTTTCCTCTCCAGTGCAAACTTCCCAAATATCCCAGGGGACCTTGATTTCACTTACTGATGAGATCCATGACTTCTCGGGTCAGCAGCCTGACCAGCTGTTCCTCAAGCATCTCCTGAGACTCAGGGTTGTCATCTGCAGCATCATCCTCACTGAAGAAAACAAGTTGTAGTGTGAAGGGAGACAATGTCTTAAAGTACCCCCTCTGTCCAAGCACAGGGACTGAGTCACCATCAGGGTAAACGCAGCATTTCCCAGCCCTCTGCTGCCAGGGCTGTTCCCTGGGCAAAGGGCCAAAGCTCCATCCCACTCCCCATTTCCCCCTTTCAGTACCCATACCAAGGGGTGAAAGCTTACCAGAGCATGCTTCGCTGGTTGATCACCTGCCATTTCTGAGACAACCTCTGTTCAAGATAAAAGGGAAAATTCAATACCTTCCCCTAAGGAGTCACGCTGGACACAATGCAAAGAGGCCCAAGTGCCACTCTCGCTTGGAAGTGGTGATAGCTGCTGACAGAGGCACAACAGGGGCTCATGCCCAGCCCCATTTTGAATAGAACAAGAACTGCTACCAAAGCAAGATGCTGTGGCTGTGCTGGCTGCAGAAATCTGAGTCAGGAAACTGAGGGGATACAGGCAAAAAAAAAACCCCACAAAAATTCTCAGGGCTGAAGTTTGAGGAGCTGATATCCACAGGCTTGAATTCATAGCAAGCAACAGCCAGCATTCAATGCATCTCAGAAACCTCCCCTAAACAGCATCAAAATCATTGAGCATTGGAGCTTTGCCTTTGTCTCTGCCAGCTTTGGAGAGACAGACGTTCTCACACGTTGCTGCCAGCTGCTACAATGAGTCTGGGCTGCCAAGGAGCAAGGATCAAACAAACTGTTTTCTTACCACGTGCAGATAGGTCAACAGTGGTCCCAGTATGGGGCAGACAAGGGTTTCGTAGTATTCTGAAGGGCAGGAGAGTACCAAGGGCTTCACAAACACACCTGCAGAGACCAGCTAAGGAAGAGACCCAGCACATATGGCCAGCTGCTAGCGAGACTGCGCACACGACCCAAACCCGCCCATTCCACTGGGAGGCCAAGCGACAGACACCTCGAAGTCCATCTTCTCACAGACCTGAACTAACAAGTGGCATCTCTACAGCAAGAGCATAAGGTATTTAGTCTCCTCCCCTGACAGTTCAGCTAAGAAAGCTGAGGGTGCTTAGTGCCCACTTCCTAGCTGTGAGACTGAATGTCCAGCCCCGGGAAGTGGGCTGGGAATCTTAGATGGCCTCCCACACAAGCACAAAGTCTAGTCAGACACCCTACTGCCAAGCTGCTACCCAAGCTCTCTTGCCCCCCAGAAGGCACTTCCCACCTCTCATGGTGCCTGCAGGACCACACAAATCCTTTGCGTTTATTCTCTCTGACCCCATGCACTGCTGTTTCTGCTCATGTCCTCCTAGGCTCACATCTCATCTACACCAGGTGTATCCCTGTTTGTTATTCTCCTCAATCAACCTTCTTTGGCTTGGCCATACTGAAAACGATGCTAGGAAGCCACCCAGTTTTCAGTTTACATGCTCCAAGCTTCTCTAGCTGGCCCGAGACAGCGATGGAAGGATACGGAGCATGGGACGCAGTCTGTAATCAGGAATGTTGTTGAGGTTGATGAAAGCTGAGCTGAGGAGCTGGGTGGCGAGACCCTCAACGGTGTAGAAATCCTGTTGCATGGAGGGGCCTGCATTTCCCAGGATGTGGAAACTTCAGCAAAAAACAAGTTAGTTGCAAGTCTGATAGGTAACAGGTACCATGCCTATGGCCTGCAAAGGGCCAAGTGCTATCATCCTGAGATTGCCATGTTCTTAAATACTATAGAGGAATTTTAGCACAGCATCTCTTTTTTTTCTGGGATACCTGCAGAGGTACAATGAATTAAGCATTTAAGCACTACAATGCACTTTCAAGTGCTGATGTATCCTAACACACAATTAAAATGGTAAAGAGACAAACTAGGTCAGGATATCAGACAAGTGCTCCAATACGATCCAACCACCTAACTGCAGGAGGGCTAAAAGCAGACCCACGTTTTGAGGTACTTTTTCCAGCAACTGTGTTCCACATGTAGGTAGGTACAGCCATGAGTATAGTTCACCACTGCGACTCGTACTTGGATATTACAGGATACAGCTCAAAGTCTAACTGTAGAAGTCAGCAGCCAGCAATAGCCTACTGCTCCAGCTGTGTGATGTTGGATTGTGGGGGGGATATCTGGTGCTCTTACCAGTTGTCGTAGAGGGTACAAAAGAAGCCTTGCATCCTTTCTAAGACTGTTTTGTAAACAGGAGAGTCATAAAGCTCCAGCAGAGGCTGAGGGAGACCTGTGGGAAAGAATAAGGTTCAACGACATTAATGAGAGAGCACAGTTCCCCTTCAGGTCCCAGCCAGCTTGACGGCAGCGAGGGGAAGCACTTGGCAAGATCAACATGCAGCCAAATGGGAAGAGGTGCAGCAACCCTGGGGCAGAACCTCCCCTCAGAGGTCAGCCAAGTGCAGGTCGGTTGTACCCAGAGCAGAGGTGTTCCCACTAAGGTTGTTCCAGCTCCTTCGCTTCTCCAAAGCAAAACTTACTGGAGCTATCAGAACCCAGTCAGAAGCAAAGCTGACAGTTGTGCAGCTCCTCCAACAGCCCATCCCTTCAGGTTTGTGTTCATATCTGTCAGGACACAAGCTACTGCTGAAATGTGACATTAAAAAGTTTAGAGATCAAGGCGCTGCTTGCTTTATGTGCTGTGGTTCACAGACAGTTTATAGGTCTCAGGAAACAGATGAAGGAAGCACCTCCTCATTTTACAGATGAGAGAAAGCAACCTCCCCGAAGTATTTCATTGTCTGTCAGAACCTGAAATCAAACCCCAATTTCCATAGTCATGGTCCACACTTTGTCTACACGGCCACCCACTTCTGCTTGGCTGGAAAGGCTTCTGTGTTCACAACCTCAAACCTAAGACAGTTCCAAAACTCTTTCTAATACACCATCTGGAAACAGGGCCATACTGCAGGACTTGGCTCTTGCTCTCCAGGCCAGGTCTCTGCACCAGCACTCAGGGATCCTGTTGAGCACTAATTCTGCTCAAAGGCAGACAGCTACAACACCCCTGGTCTCTCCAGCCTGAAGTGCCACGTTGCAGAGACCACCAAGCCAGCTGGGAGAAGCAGTTTGGTTAAGGTACCCTTAATTTCCTTCAGAAGAAACCAATTTGTCTCAGACAAATAACTTATTTAACTTCTTCATTTCAGCAGGTTCAAATCACGGCTGAGCTGTGAATACTATGAAGTTAAAGCTCTCCAGTGCCTCTTCACTGCTATTGATGGACACTACCTCACATACCTCTGAGAATCTGCCCACACATTCTTCCCAAAGAGAAGCCCCTTACCTAGGATGGCATTCTTCTCCACCTCCAGCATGTCTAAGGCCTTTGCAAATGTTTCCCCCAGCCTAGCCACCATCTCTGGCGTGTAGAGATTGTTGTGAGTCCTGAAACAGAAGAGCACTTGGTTTATACTCATATGGGTCAGTGCCTTTTGCCCTTGACAGTGGGATCCTCTCCTTCAGCTTGTGAACAGCTCCTCTGAAGCAGACAATGAGGAAGGTGAGACCAAGCACGTGTGCATGGGATCCCCCTTCCCCACCTGCAAAAATATTGGGGAAGCTGACCCGACAGAGACATGGAGTGACTCCACCTCATGTCCTGAATCTCCTGGCTGCCCCTTCCACTTATTCGGTTCACCCCACCCCTTGCAAGCATTGGCAACAAAAACTCCCAGCAACTCTCCAGTTGGTGCTGGCAACAGCTTACTAGCTTGGCCAAAGGGATCAGAGAATGCATTTTAAAAACTGACAAGACACGGATTCTGTAATCTCAAAAGATCTTCGGCACCTAAGGCCCCTGCAGAGGGAGGGGCTGTTTCAGCTCCAAAATACACACACTGCCCGCCAAGGGTGGGTCACAGTCCCCAGAATGGCAGGTGGCATTGGAGGGACTCTAGGGAGAACATCAATCCGATCAGATGTTACTGGTGGCAGACACATGTGCCCCCTGGACAACACATCCAGCCAGGAACAATTCCGCATCATCAGGAGGCGGCCATGGTCAGCTCTCCGCGAGGGACACCAATTCAGCCACGGGTGGCTGGTTCTTGCCATCCAGGCCAAAATGGGTCCCCTCTTAGTGACACTCAGCGCTGGACTCGGCAGGGGGTGTCTCTCTCACCTACCTCTCTCCTTTGAGACCTCAGACCTCCACTGTGGGTGTCGCCAGCTGCACACAGCACAAATCCTGCAGCCTCCTCCAAAACTGCAATGCCATTGTACCTGCTGCTAGAGGTGATCAAGGGCAACTCAGTATCTCTCCCTACGCAGCGTTTCCCAAAGCAGGGGGTATGTGGGAATGGCTGGGGGAAGGGAGTGCGGACAGACCTCAGTATGTTCTCCAGAGTCTCAGCTTTCACTCATGTCTTAATGATTTTTTTTTAATTTTTTTTTTTTTTTAACGTCTCTGTTCACAATCCTGGCAACCCCGATGCAGTGACGTCTGCCTGAGTTTGCAGAGAGCCTTGAGTTAGCTCCGAAATGGCAGCTATCCCATTTCTCTCTGCAGGTGTCAAATACTTCCCTGCTCACTGCACGTGAGGAAGGCAAGTATGTTAAGTTTCATAAGAAAGAGCTACACAAGTGACTTCTTAATGACTCATACTCTCATTCTGGGCTGGATCTAACACCATGCAACAGGCCTCAAAGGGGGCACAAGCTGGTTTTTCTTTCCCAAGAGGGGCTAGGGAGCAGCCCAGCCTCCACAAGTTTGGATGATGCTGTTCCACTGACTCAAAAAACTGTGCATTTCTGCTTCACTCTATTCTGAAACCTAGCTACTAAGAAAATCTCCTCTTGTATGTGTCCTGCTTGCTCCATGCCAATGTTGGCTTTGCCTCATGCTGCGCAGAAGGGCAGCGGGGCGAACCCAAAAACTGTGGAATTGTGGAGGTGAACCTTGAAATCCCACTGCTCTAACCCCAGCAGGATGGGCCAGAGAGTCATATCTTGAAGTTGTTGTCATGGTCCTTCGTTGTTTCAGAGTCATTGAAGATATTCTCAAGATTGACAGTTGGGAGGTCAGATGTTCACGTGCCAGCCAATCTCCCTTAACTTGTACTTTAGCAAGGTCCCAGTGGTAACAAAGAAAAAATGACTACTCAGCTGCTCCCCGTGGAGTTGAAAGCATACAACAGCCCTCATATTTGATGAGGATGTAGGCCCTAGGCAGGTTCCAGCTGAGACTCTCAGCAGTGAGCAGCACTCCTGGGCATCCCGCACGCAGGAGAACATGGAAAAACAAAATTCAAGAGACATTTATGCTTTAGAAAATAGAAACAAAGGATATGGCAGGACTTGGGGGAGCATATTTTCAGCAATGGGCACAGCTCTGCTGGGAAGAGTGTCTGATGCCTAGAGAGATGAGCTTGAAGGCCAGAATATGAGTCCTTTAGGTCAGCCCATGTTTGAAGAATCTTGATCTAAAGCTGGAGCCAATCTACACTGAAAATGCCTACAGAATCCATGTCTATCCAACAATTCTTTTACCAACATCAATGCCTCGGTAATGTCAGCACCTCAGCAAGAGGTGTTCCTGCTCCGGCAGGGGGATTGGACTAGATGATCTTTCGAGGTCCCTTCCAATCTCTAACATTCTGTGATTCTGTGATTCTGTGAAGAGGAGTTCCAAAAAAGCCTTTGTCCATGCAAAGCATTTGCTGAGCCTGACTCATCCATTTGTGACAAAACACGATCAAACCCCAGCACAATCAATGTGCCTCGCCAATCAGTTCACGCAGCTACTGACTCCAGAAATGCGCCTTTATCTAAAGGTGGCTGGAGATCACGATCCAGGTTTAAATTCAGGAGAGAACCATTCCAGCCAGACGCTAGAAAGCACCTAGATGAAATGAGGTGCCACAGAGGACAGGAGAATCATCACTAAAAAAGATGCAGTGATTAACAGAGCAACCTCAAAATCGTTCAGTAAATACAGCTACCAAGACAGAGCCGAACATGGGTAGGCACAAAAAGATAGGCTGGCAGGGAAAACACCATGCTGTCTATGCCACTCAAAACTCCTTTATTTTTCCTGGTTACCTGAATTCCCTCTCGGCTCTTTGGTCTCATCCGTGAGCTTCCTTCAAGCTCTTTACCCTGGCAGAGACCCGGTGGCTTAGCAACTTTCACTGCTTCTGTCTGCAAACACAGCAGAAGAACGCCACACAACATCCAGAAAGCAAAAGACCCAGCCTGCAAAATGCCCTTTTTTTGCATACTGGTGCCTGACAGTGTTCAGTTCAGCCGCTCAGTAGGATCCACACTGCGTGCAGATCTGCTCACACAATAACCAACACAATCTGTGAGGAATTCCACATCTGCTTCCTGCATAAGCACGTGAGCAACACTGGACCTTGCTCGTCCCTACAGAAAGCTGCCTAACGGCACAGAGCTCAGAGAAGCATCCATCCCCAAGCAGTCATGCAACTATGTTCCTGAAGGCATCCTCAACACGCAGCTTTCCTGCCAGCCAGCCCTCCTCATTCCCTGTACCTCCTGCCTGCTGACAGGCTGCTACAGATTCCATATTCTCTTGTGTAATCCGTATTATAGAGGGCCTGAGGAAGCAGTACATGGAAAAGGCGCTCAAACCCAGCAAAAAAACACACCAGAAGCTCCATAGCACAAGCTCCAACTTCTCCAGAAAGACATAAGCATCATCAACATTTGTACTGAACAACTATGAGCTTGCAGTTGTCACACCAGGGGACTTCTACATCCAGCAGCAGCCAGCAAAGGTATGAAGTGGAGGATCTACTGCTCTTAATACATCATTCCTTGGTTCTTGGTGGAGCATCCAGCCTTAAGAAGAGCCCGGATACCTCTGAGTAAAGTACAGTAACATGTATGTTACTACCAAATGACCAGAAATTATTTTGTTCTGCAGGGAGGTGCTTGAACAACACAGATGCATGATCTCAAAAATCATCCAGGGAGCCTCTTCCTTTGTGCAGATGGGGAAGTACCAGCACCAGAACATAGGTCATGCATTTTCCTGGAGGTGGTGAACAAGCAGGCACAGAATTTCTGCTTCTTTACAGGTAGTGATGGAGTTTGACAATAGTTTCCTAAGTTTGTTGTAACAGAGATCCCAAGTGATTTTAATAATGCCTAAGTTCTGGCATTACTGGCAAGAACAGTGATTGCACAAGCACAAAGTGCGTCCGTTGCAGCCTGTTCACACCTTGGGCACTGGTTTAGTTGCTCTCCCACAATACGGAGCATGTTCCACACTCTGGAAGAAATGGCATGAGGCTACCTCTGCTCAGGCAAGTCTACTCTAACCAGCCTCTCCCAAAAGCTCATCGACAGGATCTTCAGCCTTCCAGGATAAAAGGCAAAAACACTTTGAGCACAGCTCCACAGCTGTTAAGATGGTTCAACCCTGCTCACTGGCTGACATACCAGCTGCTGCGCTACACAGAGCTTTGCCATGAGAAGCACCGCTGGGGTGGGCCAGTCCAGCATGCTGCTTCTCACTGGAAGCTGCACAGTCCTGAGCTCAGTGACTACCAAACGTGCCTGACTACACAGGGCTTGGGTAACAACGCCCCTTTCCTCACAGACCTGGGAGCTAAAAAATGTAAGTGGATCTGACAATGCTCCCAAGAGGCTCCTGCCAAGGACAGAGCCTCCATTTTTCAAGTACATAACATGTAGCATTATCTAACAAAACTGCCCAACAAGCCTGGCAAAATCCCAGTGTCAGCAGCTACCCTGAGACAGATTCCTCCTTTATAATCCTGGGAACCCCTTTCTGCCCCCTCTCTCTCCCTCGACTGGCTGCCCCAAACATCCACAACACCAGTGATGTGCAGAGAGGCACTGCAAGGTAGCAACAGCCTGAGAGTATGCATCCACTGATTTCAGCAGCAGACAGTGCTTCAGGAGCTGGTGTGCATGGCCAGCAAACCAGCTGAATTTAACACTGAAGAGAGAACACCACAAACAGGATGCGATGAGAGCTGGGACTGCCCTGGTGGTGACTGGAGAGGTGGCCTTGTAGGGGCTGAGGGCAGAGCAGAGATGTTAGTTGAGAAATGATTAACTGGGTGGCAGATTTATAGCAGTGGAGGTGGGGGAGGCAACCCCAGCCCAAGCTCCCATTGGCTTTGATGGACTCTTGTAGGCCAGGCCAATGAACATTCAGAAGGCTCCAGTTTTCCCAGTGCCATTCCCCACTGTGAACAGTCAGGAACAGTACTTGGGCACCTGCACCAGCCTGTGTTCCCGCTGGCTTCACTGGGAGAACATGCTCTGAGCATTCCACGTATTTATCACAGTTTGGCTTTCAGAGATTCTTAAGTCAACATAAATGATTGCAAGTCAACTTGACCCACCTTATAAGAGCAAGTAAATTGTCAAAGAGCTTCAGGACCTGCTCAGTGCAGGGATTACGGTAGATTGGAGTTCCACTGGGCATGTATCCCAGGAGGAATCCTCCAGCTTTTGCCTCTTCAGTAGCAGCAGGCCAACGTGCTCGTTTCACAACTCCCAGAATGGTGTAAACGCAAAAGCTTATCTGCAACAAGAGATGCGGAGAGTGTTTCTTAGCCAGAGCACAACCTGAGTAAGTAGATTTTCAGAGAAACCCAACATCACCCCATCTTAAAGGGAACACTCTACAGTGAGCCTAATCTGGTGATAGGAACAAGCTCTGGTGGGTTTGCTGCCAAGAAAATGCTGCAAACAACCATGTTACGTTCCATCATCTTCAGTGACCCTTGGCCATGGCAGGACGGCCTAGGAACTCGTACAGTCTCATGAGTATGCAAGCAACCAGGTAGGTTGCCATCTGAAAGGAAGGGTCTACGCCATGAGTTCCACATCTCCTTCATGTGCTGTGACAGACAGAGAGATCTGTGATGACGCAGTGGTCAAACTGCATTAGCCCCAAATCACAGGCACAGCTCTGTGGACTGCATTTCCGTATCTTCTACAGACCTAAAGATAGCAACTCCATTTGCAGTCTGTCCAAGAAGTGAAGGCATCTCACTAAAAACTTAACAACATGAATCTTCTTGGATGAATTTTAATTATATTCCCCATGCTGCAGTCTCAGCATGACGCTTTCCATACTGCCTGTCTCAAAAAGCACAACTCACTGCACCACGTTTCAAAAAATCATGTACACCAATTGCTTCTCCAAGATCAAACTCTGCTAGACAACGAGTAGGGAGTAGTGTGCTTCACTCTTCAGGATAATCTGGTTTTCCATGTCCTACATGCCCACTACTGTGGCTTAAAGGGGCAAAAGCCAGCCTGCTATTCTGCAATCTGAAAAACCTACTGATCCGCGCCCTAAAGAAGCAGATGATCAGGAGAGATCTTGTGTGTAACCACAACAGAAATGGAGGATGGAAGGAGGCAAGTCCCATCTCGCTAAGGATTACACATCTCCTGGTAATGATACTCACCCTAGAGCAAAAACACTAGGATCTTCCAAGACTGGATCAGCGATTTTGTTGTCTGCACCCACATAGGAGATAAAGGCTTCAGGATCTGAGAGGACTCTGGCAGCAGCAAAAGACAGCAATGCAGATTATTGTTTGTACCAAGGAATTTGAGCAGAGCTTTGCACTGGCAATAAACATCTTAACAAACACAGAGCAGGGCAGAGAGACTAGCTAGGGCTCCACACTGTACGTGGGAATGTGATAAAAAGCACCAGAGATGTGTGCACTCTCCAAACATCTCCAGTTCTCTTGGTCTTGAGGTGCAAAACACCTCAGCTTTAGGAAGGAGAGCTCAGCTTCCTAGCTTCTCCTGGAGATGAGCAGAGACATCTTTTATTTCTCATTTGCTGCAAATGCTTTGAGCATGCTGGGAAGCGTTCCTCCATCGCCTTAAACCAGCTCTTACCTAGCAATTTTCAACAAACAGCACTTAAGACTGAGTTGGCAGTTTCTGAACTGCAGGAGAGCATGACCACGACTGCCCAGAGCACGGGAGGTCCCAAGGTACCCCCCACTACCCTCATCTGGTTTGTGCATTCCCTCAGTGGGCATGACATTACCTCTGCAACACCTCCAGCTCAAAGCTCAGAAAAATGATCCATACCTCTGCATCTCTGGGGAGAGCCATAAGCCAGCAACAGGAGCCATGAGCTCCTCCAGGAAAGCTTTCTGCCGCTCATAGTCCTTGAACTGGTTGCTGATGAGGACGAGGGCCTCCATAAGAGCACACTTCTCCATCTGTGTCAGAAGTAGCTCGTTGGAGAGTAGCTGTTTCACGTGGTTGTACAACATCTCAAAGTTTGGCTAGAAAACACATCCAAGTGGAAGAGC